GAGGAGGGTGAGGATGGGAGGAATATCGACACGAAGGAGCAGGAGAGCAAAGTCGGAAACAAGGGAGGATCAGAAAATGCGACAAGACAAGTGTTGAAAGGGAAGGAGGAAGGTCAGCAGAATGGAGAAGCAGAGGGAGCAGACGAGGAGGAGGAGGAGGAGGAGGAGGAGGAGGAGGAGGTTGTGGAAGTGGACATCAACACTCTGCTCTCCATCGAGTCGGAGGAGGGACTGCCGTAAGTCGAGGCCCAGCTGGTGATTAGCTGACTGATCAGCAGGCGGTGGATCCTCGGTGAGGACGTGCTGGGCTGCTTCTCCGAGCTCCTACGATCGCGCATGGCCGAGCTGGAAGAGGGAGAAGGTTGGGAGGAGCTGAAGGGAGAGAGGACGGAGGAGAGGAAGGAGCTGGCGATGCAGCTGAGGGAGAACGAGCGGCTGCTGCTGCGAAGGGCGCAAGCATGGACAGAGAAAGCATTGGAGGAGCAGAGAGGGGAAGAGGAGGAGGAGGAGGAGGAGGAGGAGGAGAAATGAAATACAGACATGTATACAACAACAAGAGGAGGAGGAGGAGGTGGGGGGGCTAGTGAGCCTGCTGGAGGAGGTCGAGCTGCTCAAGTTTGCGGTCGAGGACGTTTTTCAGCTCCTCGAGGACCGCGTGCTGGCTGAGATTCTCAGCTCCGATGCCCCTTGAGACGTCGAACGGAAGGTCCGCAAAGAGAGAGATAAGCTGATGTACCTCCTCCCTCTCCCTACCTTGTGTCAAGTATCTCCTCCTCCTCCTCCTCCTCCTCCTCCATCACCGTCACCTCCTCCTCCTCCTCCTCCTCCTCCTCCTCCTCGCCCCCTCACTGCTTGTCCTCCCTCTTCTCCTTCATCTACCTCAACCTCCTCTCCGTCTTCCTCCCATGAGCACAGCGAGCAGCTCGTCAACCCAGTAGTATCTCCTGCTCCCGCTCCTGCTCCCGCTTCCGCTCCCGCTCTTCCTGCCGTCTCACTGTGCGCTCGGCGCAGCACCAAGTCGATCGCGTCCACTCGTCGTGCGATCCCACTCAGGCAGGACGACAACCCCCCGTCGAAACCCAGCTCGACCCCAGGAGCCCCCTTGGGACGAGGAAGCCCCTGCACTCTCCTTACGATCTCCTCTAGGACCAGGACCGTCTCCTCCGCCGCGCTCAAAGTTCGCTCCTCCTCCTGCTCCCTCAACCACAGACGGACATGCGACAGCTCCGCCTCCTCCTCCCACCACAGACGCACGTGCGGCAGCCCTCTCGTGGTAGCGGAGAGGACGGAGCGGAGCATGAAGATTTCCTCCTCCTTTCCCCGCAGCTCTGTCGTGCTGTAGTCTACCAGCTTCGCCAGCCGCTCGAAGGAAGCAGCAAGTCTGTCTCGGTCCTCGCTGAGAAACCTCGCGTCCTCTCGCAGCTCTCCCGCCAACTCTCCCAGCGCCGACATCAGCTCGTTCATGTCCGACAGGCAGGAGGCAGCTGCTGAGCATGCACTCGTCCTCCTCCGTTCCTGCGATGCGCGTGAGCGGGGAGAGCGAGGAGGAGCACGGAAGCTCAAAGGGAGCGAGGAGGGGGGGGATAGAAGAAGAGGAAGAGAAGGAGGTGAGGACAAGATCGAAGAAAGGAAGGAAAAGGAGATAGAAGGAGAAGGGGGAGGATCAAGAAGAGGAAGGAGGAGGAGGACAGGGAGATAGAAGGAGGTGGAGAGGAAGGAGAAGGAGGAAGGAAAGAGGAGGAGGGAGGAGGAAGGAAGGAAAGAGGAGGAGGGAGGAGGAGGGAACCTCAAGCTGCAGGACAAGAACCCGATAGGAGAGAGAGGAGAGCTCGTTGCGGAGGCTCTCAATCTGCAGCTCAACTTCAGCTGGTCAGCAGGTGGAGGAGGATAGAGGATTAGCATCTGAGCAGGAAGACGATCAAGGTCGCTCTTCCTGCCCTGACTCGCTCCCCCGCCTCCTCCTCCTCGTTGCCTCTGCTAGCCGGACAGCAGCAGAGGCTGCGGTCTGATCGCTGAGCTGAGACAAGGTAGAGAGCACAAGATTCAAACAACCAGAGGAGAGGGGGATTAGATGCGCGAGAGAAGGAGGGAGAGGATGCGGATAAGGAAAAGAAGGGGAGGAGGAAGGGCAAAGGGGAACATGATTGAAAGGCGGAAAGAAATTGAACAGAGACGATTTAGAAGAGGAAGGGAGGAGGAAGAAGGGAGGAGAGAGAGGGAGGAGGGGAGAGGGAGGAGGGGAGAGGGAGGAGGGAGGAGGGAGGAGGGAGGAGGGAGGAGGGAGGAGGGGGAGATGGGAAGGAGGGAGGGAGGGGGGAGGTCGTACCTGGAGCAGGAGAAGTTTGCTCTGCTTCCGCTCTGCTTGCAACTCTTGAGTTCGAACTCTCTCAGACGAAATCGCAAGCGCCGCCTTGTCCTCCAGCATCTCCTTCCTTCTCTGCTCCCTCCTCTGCTCCTCCTGCTGCGCCCTCAACCCCCACAGCTCCTGCGGACCCCGTCACGTCATGTCTCCCCCTCCCCCCTCGTCTTCTTCCATTCTCCTTCCCATCCCTCCGCGCCCTTCCATTCTCCCTCCCTCCGCTCCTCGATTGCTCCACCGATTCTGCAGCGTCCAGTTTCTTCTGCGTGTCATCCAGGCGCTCCTGTTGAAACCTCAGGAGAGGAAGCGGAGGAAATCAGCAGCAGCAGCAGCAGAAGAAGAAGAAGAAGAAGATGAAGATGAAGATGAAGGAGGAGGAGGAGAAGGAGAATGAGAAGAGGGAGGGGGGGGGGAGGGAGGATGGGTGCAAGTTTAGACAGGTAGTGCGGAAGAAGAGGAAAGGGATGAAGGATGAATCAAGCAGCGAAAGAAGGAAAAGACCTGTAGCGAGTCTCGCTGCCTTGCAATCTTGCTGAGAGTTGACAACTTGCGCTCCTGTGAAAAGAGATGAAAAGAATCCAGAGAGTTGATCAATCGAAGTGATCATTGTCTCTAGCTCTACCATCACCATCATTACTATCATCATCATCATCATCATCATCATCATCATCATCATCATCATCATCATCATCATCATCATCATCATCATCATCATCATCATCATCATCAGCATCATCATCTCCATCATCATCATCATTTCCATCATCATCATCATCATCATCATCATCATCATCATCATCATCATCTCAATCGGTTCATCACCAAGGATCTGCACTGGGATCGCAGCTGAGAGTTCTCCTCTTCCATCTTCTGCAGTGCTGCCCCCATGCTCCGCAGGCTTCGCTCGAGCGTTCGCTGCTCTCGTCCTTGCCGCGAGCTGTCTCTGCCTTGCTGATCGGGTCGATCCAGGAGAGGCGAATCCTGCCAGAGGAGGCGAGTCAACGAAGACAAGAGCGAAAGGAGGAAGCGAGGGAGGAGGAAGCGAGGGAAAGGAGGAGAGAAGGCGAGGAGAGAGACGGAGACGAGAGAGGGGAGGGGAGGGGCAGGAGAAGGGGAGGGAAAGGTTGAAGAGTGGTGGGAGGGAGGGAGGGGCTTACAAAGGTTTTTCTTCGCAGCTCCTGCTCCAGCTTGTGCTTCTCTCTCTCGAGCTCTTTCACCCTCCCAAGGAGCGACGACTCTATGTCCGGGGAAGCAGCCCCGACCTATCGCAAGTCACTCGCTCCCTCGCTCCCTCGCTCCCTCGTTCTCTCTCTCTCGCTCTCTCCCTCCCTCCCTCCAGGGGTTCCCTGCTACCTGTCGTGCATGCTTGGAGGGGATCGCACTGAAGTCTTGGGATGAAGGAGGGTGTGTCATGCCTCCAAAGTCTTCATCCTGCAGCAACCAAGAAAGAGAAGACAAGGCAAGGAATCAGTTGTGCTGTACCCACAACATCAGGTGTGGGAAGCAGAGTAGCAGAATCAGAGAGGAGATGGGAAGAGCAGCAGAGAGGAGGAGCAGAGAGGAGGAGAGCAGGAGCAGGAGCAGGAGCAGGAGCAGGAGCAGGAGCAGGAGCAGGAGCAGGAGGGAGTAGCTGGTGGGAATTCGAAGATCAGGGTGGAGGAAACAAGAGCATATTGAGGTCTTCACATTCAATCCGTCAGCGCAGGAGATCGTTTGCTGCATTAGTCCCTTCCCCCAGTCCTCCTCCTCCTGCTCCACAGACAAGCCATGCTCCAATGAAGGATCTCGGCCGCTGGTCCACATTCTCACTAGCCTCATCCTCCGTGATCGCTCGAGAACAAACGACTTGCTCCTCCTCACACACCCCGACAGCGCGCCGAGCGTGTCCTGCATCACGCTGGCGTCCTGGCAGGCGAGGGTGAGTTCCATGTTCCAGCAGTCGCTCCACGCCTGCAGCCACCGCAAGGAGCAGCCGTCTACTCCCTCCTCTCTGCTCGCACGTCAGCACACCCGAAGCCTCTCTGCTGTGTTCACCTGAGTCCGCGCAGGATGCTGCCAGCCTCCCTCTCGGAACAGGAGGAGCTGGGCTCCTCGGACGCGAGGAGGAGAGAGACTTTCAGCTGGAGCGGCTCAAGGAAGGAGCTGGAGGAGACCGGGTTCCTCGCAGCAGAGGACTCGTCGGGGGACGCTGCCCGTACCCTCCTCTCATGCAGCGCCTTCTCCAACGTCTCGTTGGCCCTCCTGAGGCCTTCAGCCTGCCGTTCCATCTCCTCCCGATCCCTCGCGTGCGATCCTCGTAGCTCGTCCACCTCCTGCTGGTGCTGCAGCAACAGCTCCTCCACGTGCTTCTTTTGCGAGCTCTTCATACTCTCCCACAGGCCCCGGAGGTCCTTCACCTCGTGCAGCAACTCCTTCGCCTCCTCCTCAGCTCTCCTCCTCTCCCGTTGCGACTCCTCCAGCTGCTGCTCGACTGCCGACAACTTCTTCGTCAGATCAGCTGCGACATCCGAGTGAGACTTGAGCAGGTTCTCTTCCTTCAACCTCCCTTTCTTCACAGCGGCCTCGAGCTCCTCAACCCTCCCCCTCTGTTCCTGTAGCTGCTCTTCCTGCTGCTGCTTCGCGCGTTTGAGCGACTCGTTCTCCATCCTCTGCTTGCTGATCGTCTGCAGACTCTCCTGATACTCCTCTTGCAGATTCCGAACAACATGCCGCAGGTTTGTAGTGACTTCTTGCTCTTTCAGCAGCTGGTTGACTACCTCACTGCTGGCGCTCACCGAGTCCCTCAGCAAGGCCTCGGTTGACCTCAGGCGCTGCTCCAGGTCCTTAAGGTCTGCCGACAGCGAAGCTCTTGACTCCTCCACTTCCCTCACCAACTCCGACAGCTCCTTCATCTTCTCCACCACTTGCCCGTCCACGAGCCCTTGGCACAGCTCCTTCGCCTTGGCTTTCATGTCCTCGCTCTCGCTCCTCTCCCTCGTCATCGACGCCAACAGCTTCCTCGTTCCCCTCTGAGTGACGTCCAGCACATCAGCTACCCCGTTCAGCGAAGTCTCGATCTCCGAGAGCATCCTGTCCTGGTCACCCTCCCGCTCCTCCTTCACCCTGTGTTCCTCCTTGAACTTCACGATATCATCCTTCAGCCACCCAACCTCGTTCCTCAGCTTCTGGAACGCTGCCTCCCTCTGACTCTTCTTGTCGAAAGCATCCTGCAGCCATCCTTGAAAAACTTCGCCGTAGCCGCCCGTCACGTTCTCTGCCATGAAAGCAGCCAGCTTCGAGGAGACCTCCGAGGAGATCGGAACCTCGCAGCAGTTGGCGATGTAGATGAGCAGAGCGATCTCATCGTTCTTGGCTCTCAGCTGCTGGTCTACATCCCATTGCTGGCTCGGAGTGTGAAACCTTGTGTTCACCACTCGCTCGGTAGCTCTTCTGAAGTCGGAGTAACTCTCATACGCTGAGCTCCTATCCTGCGCGTCCATGGACCTCAGCATGGACGAGAACATGGAGTGCGCATCAACGCTCTGCGACGGCTCATCTGGAGTTCCTTCCCCAGCCGCAGAACCTGCAGCACTTTGCGGGGAGGAGAGAATTCGTGGCATCACGACGGAGGATGCAGAGAAATGCAAACAGAACTGCGAAGGGAGCGGCTCATCGTGCCCTCATGAGTGGATCTGCATACAAGGACAAAGTCAGACGGTCTCTTCTCCCCTCCCTCACATCACCTTCAGCCCTCCCCCCCCTTCCCTCCTCGCCCCCCTCTCCCCCTCCCACACACCTTGCTCCATTCCCGTCCATTCCCCGCCACTCGCCCGTTAAAGTGCAATATCGGAGTGTAACGGTCTGTAACGCTGTAACGTGTAATAACGGCGGGGTCCATAACCGTCCAGACACCGTTGAAATTTAAAAATTTGAAGGAGGGGGAGGGCAGAGGGAGCAGGGAACATGGAGGCAAAGTGGAAGAGGGAGGAGGCGAGGGCGGCGTGAGGGCTGGTTGATGGTAGAACAGTGATGAAACAATGGACAGGGAAACTGAAGTGATGTGATGTGGAAGAGGAGGGTGGGAAAGAAAAGATTTGCGTGAGGGAGAGCAAGCAGTTTGTGTAAGTTTAAGGCAAGGAGGTTGTGAGAACGGAGCAGTTGATATCCGAAGTGATCTGATGAGCGACAAACTACAGGAAGCAACCAGATCTACCGAGATTGCTCAGGAACAGAGGGCATGACAGTCATTCAATCTAGCATACGAGCAGAATATTTTGTTGGGAGAGCTTCCACTCTTCCACTGCTCTAAGCCAATGTTTGTTATCTGACTGATCATCACCATCAGGCGAACCAATCATCATGCCAGGAACGCCGCGCAGGCCGCGTTCTTCCCCAGGAAGGACGCGAAGGTCTATATCGAACAAGGAAAACGAACCGCTGCCACCTCCCGAGTCGCCAGGGGTCATGGTCACCAAAGAGAAGGTCCATGACATCAAGTTGACGGCAAGTGAGACTGACTGACCCGCAGAGGGCATCCCGCGTCACCAGCAGATTCTCCGTGCTCAAGGTGCTGGGGACCACTGAGTCGGAGATATCTCCATGCCAGGACAAGGCCAACGACATCGCCAAGAAGAGAAGAACTTCTCGTGTGAGCTTCGGAAACATCCAAACAACCATCTTCCAGAAGGACTCTGAGTTCGGCAACAACTCTCCTTCCCCTGGCTCCTCCGGGAAAGCATCACAGCCTACTAACCTCTCCACTCTCCCTGACGACACCGTCTTCGGCTCACCTGCCGTGTCGGTTGCTGGCAGCGAAGCCATGGAGATCACTGGCACAGTGCTGCAGCCGCTCCCTTCCCTGCCCAACATGTCGGATCAGGACGATGGCAGCTTTGCTTCCTTTGGGGATGGCACGCAAGAGCAACCTCAGTTCGGTCAGCCGGTCTCCCTGTCGGACTTGGTTGAGGAGGATGAACGTTGCTGGGAGAATCAAAGCAGGCAGAAGAAGCCATCAGGCCAGCTCGAGTTCATGAAGGACAGGCCTGCAGCTGAGGACAAGAACGCTGACCTGACCGACCATGACCTGACTGCAGACATTCCTGACCCTGGTAACCGGACCCGAGCTCTTGCGGATCACACCGGCGCGTTCATGAGCGGAAACACTGGTGTCTTCCGTGATCAGACGTGCATGGGTATGGAGATCACAGCAGCTTACGGAGGCATCGTCTCTCAACGCCCCGAGGTAGCCTCCCACTCAACCTCCTCTACCTGCTCTCTCCTGCACCCGCTCGGACTGACGTTTCTTCAGCCCTCCATGAACAACGACGTCACCTGCACTGAAGGCATGGAGTTCACTAACGCATACGGCGGGATCGTCGCTGCCAACGCCATGCAGGACAAGCCAGTGGAGAGCCGCCAGTCTGCCATCAGCGAGGAGATCAGCGGGACCCTCTCGAAGCTGCGCGAGGCTGAGATGGCAGATCATGATGATGGAGAGGAGGAAGAGCCGCATGATGCCGTGGCGATGGAGATGACGGGGACCTTCGGGAAGATCCTGAGCGCCATCAGCACTAACCCAGCAGACGAGGAGGAGGAGGCGACTGACTCTCAAGGAGCGGAGGTGTGGGGCAACAAGACCTTCACAGACGGGGAGGTGACGATGTTCACTCCTCTCTCCCGCATCAAATCCCTCGGCACTCGTCGGGCGTCTCGCTCCAGCATGGCCCCAGAAGCCCGCGAGCTCGTGTCTCAGTACGGGAAGATGGAACAAGACAACGTGGCTGGTAAGGCACCCTTGACGGTGCTGGCTCGTGCTCGGTTGACGTGGGTCCTGCAGGTGATGTAGCAGAGAACGGCAGGAGGATGAGCGTGAGACCCAAGGACAGCGGTATCACGCTCGACTCGTTCCTCGACGAGATCGGGATCCGCTTCCTCACCAATGCCAAGGCCTCGAAGCGCAAGTCGTCAGTCTGCCCGCCCCTCCGGCTGGTGCCAGGAGAGATGACGGAGGTTGACAAGCTCAACGAGGTGCTGGTGAGCGAGACGGAGCTGGGGCAGCTCCGGAACAACAGCTCGAGGCTTCGATCTATGTACGAGAAGCTCAAGGAGGACATGGTGGAGCTGGAGGAGGCGATCAACCGACACAACCCTGAATGCTTCGCGCTGCCGTTCGGGGAGGATCAAGAGGTGACGATGAACTTTCAAAAGCAAATGAAGCTGCTCAAGAAGTTCTGCCGCGCCAAGGCTGAGAGCCGCTGGATGGAGTGGCGGGAGAGTGCGCAGCAGCAAGTCGAGGACGCCTTGCAGCGGGTGAAGGATGCGGTGCTGGAGGACGGAGCCATGATCGATCAGAAGATGGTCGAGCTCGCCGAGGAGCGAGTCCGCGTGCTGCAGGAGAAATCTTCCATCGCCACAGAGGGTCTTCGAGCTCAGCTGACGAGCATGGCGGAGGCTGAGGCTGAGCAGAGCTTCGTGGTCGGTGCCTTCCGTAAGCAGGTTGAGGACCTCGAGAGCCAGCGGCAGCAGCTGGAGGAAACCATCGAGAGCATCAAGGAGGAGGCGGCCAAGGTCAGCGTGAACCCCAACGACTCCATGCTGGTCGAGCTCGAGGGCATCGGGGAGGAGGACGTGGCCAGGCTGAGCCTCGAGCATGCTGCCACCCAGGGCCTCGTTCCATGGCGCCTCCTCCGCACGAGCACGGGGGGGCTCACCCTGCAGCTGGAGGGCGGCTGGACTCTCAACGTTCAGCTGGGCAAGTCGGGGGTGGTCAGCTCCGTGCAGCTCGACCGCCAGGAGCCGCCGACTGAGTTCGAGCGAGCGTTGATGGAGCAGGCGGACCTGCACGGCCTGCTGAGGAGCTGCAGGAAGGCGAGCGAGCTGGGGGATGTGCTGCAGGAGTTGTCCTTCCGCATCGGACGGGTCGTGACGCTCAGCCAGGAGCTCGACAAGCTCTCGCGCATGTGCTTCGTGCAGAGGAGGGTGGACGGCGATGGGGCTCCGGAGCTCTTCACCACCGTCGCTAACCCCGAGCTGGGCTACAAGCTGGGCCTTACGTGGAAGATGTCGTGGCACTACCCTGCTGGGAGGATGCCGCTCTCCATGGAAGTCCTGTCGGGTAGCGCCGATGAAGAGCAGATCCTGGATGTCACGAGCAGGCACAGCTGCGGCCCCCTCCGCCTGACGAGGATCCTGCGAGAACTATCAGGGAGCGGCTGAGATGACGCGAAGAGCTCCTGGACTGACTTGTGTTTTTAACTGCGTTCAATGAATCATCGCTAATGAACTATTTACATGCCCAACGAGAGTGGTTGCTTCTGTCTCAAAGAATAGAACAAAATCGCTTCTTCTTGCCTCCCGTTCGTTGTTTGATGTCGTGGATTTGAATCACATCCTTTTTGTCTGCTTTCCTCTGTCTCTCTTTCTCCTTGACACTCTCATTCACTTTCTCAACCGTCTCCGTCTTCTTGCTGTCAGTGTTTGCTTTCACGGGTTTGGAACTCGCACTTGCACTCGTGCTCGTATTTGCCTTGTTGGTAGACATCTCCTCAATACTGGCAAGGCCGCTTTCACCGCCGTTCTGCTCATTCTTCACATACTGTTCACCAAGGTATTCGAAGACCTGCCGAAATGTCAAATACGACATCACGTGTCATTGTCTTTGTGACGTTGACAATTTCTCACTTTGTCAACATTCAAGTTTTCACTGACGCATGTTCTGTACAACTTGAGCTTGAGCTTCTTCGACAGGTTCTCGACTTCCTCCGGGCTAACCTGTACCACAGGTTATCTCCGTCGGTCTTACAGAGGCAGCACGTACAACTGATTGATCGATCAAGTCCACTTTGTTCTATCGAAAACCGTCAAAGCTGTGAGATTCAGCAGGGAGGAGCACCTGGACCAACACCATTGGGATCTGGCCGACCTCTGCTTCAACCTGCAGTGACCGCATGGGTGATCGCATGGTTCCTGAGAGAAGCCGCACCTTTGACTTCCATTTCTCCACAGCCTCAAAGCTGTCTCTATCCACCGTCGAGAAAGCCACCACGCACCCGTTGGCGTTGCGGTAATACCTGGGGGGAACAATCAACTGAAACATTCCCGTCAAGAGCCTGTAGAGCTTACGATCGAGTGATGGCGTCGAACTCTTCTTGTCCTGCTGTATCCCACACCATGAATGTAATGTTCTGCGCTACACTGTCGATGTATTTCTCTTTCTCGAGGAAGTCAACTCCAATCGTCTTCTTGTAAGTATCCGTGTATTCTCCTTTGCAGAACCTGCCCGGAGTCGAACTTCACTAACAAGGTCATAAACAAAGTCAATTTCAACCTTCTGATCATGCTGGACTTTCCCACTCCACCATTTCCCACCACAATTATCTTGATAGTGGCTGAAGGACAAGCTTCAGTATGATCAACGTCTTGTCAAAGACGAAGCTGACTTTCAAAATCTTCAACAATCGCCATGATTGCTATCCACTTTCTCCTCCGAGTATCGGGGGAAAATTTGTTGCAACCTGATACAAGCAAACCTCGTTCTGATGCCTGTCAGGAAAAGTAGTTGAGTGAGTCAGCAACTCGGATCTCTTTTCTTTTCTTTACCTGCCCTTCAATCTAGAAATTTTCCATCATTCTGTTACGCCGAACACGCAGGCTGCAAGCTGTAAGACCAACAGAAGTCAGCAAGTCATCGCCTTTGTACGGATCTGCATTCATCGCTTGGTTCAATTGAGAGCTCGTTTCCTACCCCGGGTCCCCATGTATAGTCAGACATTGAGATTTGAACTCTTCTCTTTTGATCCCCGGATACTCCTGGAATCGGGGAGCTACCATTTGATCTCAAACTCTCCTTAAGAGTTTGAGATCAAGCAGATCCCTTCGAGCTTCATTCTATCTCTGAACTTGTGCACAAGCACGGTTCTCTCAGAGTCTGACCAAGCACTCTATTCATGATCTTGTTGACATCAATATGTTACACCACACAAAACTTTGCAAGATTGCAGTGGTGCTGATACTGTCGTACAGAATGTCGTCGTTTCATCCACCACGCCACATGCTACTTTTCGTACCTCCATTTGTGACTTAAACTTTTCACCTGTCTCTTGATCTTCTGGCAGCATTTCTCCGCCGATCTTCCACAAGGTTATCCTCACTATAGCATTCATCTACGTCCTGCCTTCTTCAGCCATTCCTCTCTCCTCTCCTCTCCTCTCCCCTCTCCTCTCCACCCACTTCGACCATGGACACCTCAACGGTCCTCCATCCCCTCGCTCAAGGACCCCACCCACAGTCACCGCAAGCCACCCATGTCAAATTGACCCTACCGTGTCATTGTGACCACCCCATAGACATACTACCCTTGCTTTACACTATTAAATGGACCCGTTCTGATACCCCAGATTGCTGTGTGGCCAGACCCTGCCTCACTACCCCATCAACCTAATCTTCTACTACCCCACCCCGTATTCAACTTTTAAAGAACGTACGAACCCCCCTACCCCTCTTTCCCCAACACACACTTATAAAGTACCCGGTCCTCATCCTACACAAACACCCCACGATGTGCATTCATTCAACCACGACCCCCGTGATTTCAATATCCCCCGAAACAACGTTTGAAACACCGGTAATCACGGTGCACATGTACCCCCTATTCTCATAATCAAAAATGGGGGTATTTCTGGAACGGGTGGTGTAGCACTAAAGTTTCAAACCACCAAGGTGGGTCATATCACCCACCCAGGGGACCAAAGGAAAAAACAAGGATAAATGCAGGGTAGTCAATGTTATTTGGGATGGGGGGTAGTCAAACAATTTGCTTCTGTTCGAAACAAGGAAGCATTGTACCCACCCTATACTCTTCTCCCATTATGAAGTACCCCCCTTTTACCCTTTCAGTACCCCGCCTTTGAAGTTGAAATTGTTCTGCCAATATAGGTGGACCCCACCCTGTTCCTGTCAGCAAACCCCCACCCCCCTTTACGACCACACCATTCAGCCACCCTAGAAATAAATCATAGACCCACCATACTGAATAAGCTTCACATCAACTACCCCTTCATTTCCTTGATAAATCATATCACCCCTGGTGTGATTATTCAGCCTACGATGCCCCTACCCCTACATTTGTCTACCCCACCCCTGATTTTCATGCATCGGATCGTCGCTTCCCCCAGAAGCGGAAGACAGCTTACCCGCCTACCTGCCTCCCTCCTGTCTCCTCCTCCTCGGACTCGAATCACAACTTCCGTCCTCCTCCTCCTCCTCCTCCTCTCTCACCTCCTCCTCTCTATCTATCTATCTTTCTATCTATCTCATTCTCTGACCTCTGAATCCTCTTCCCGCAATCCTTCATTTCTCCCGTATCTCTTTGTCGTGGTTTTGTTCGTCGGGCCTTCTTGTTTCCTGTACTTGCTTGATCTCGAACCCACACTGACTGGTGATTTGTGGATTTTCCGCTCTTTTTCTATCTCGAAGATCGGGTTGAGTGGTTGCCACTTCTATTTTCCCTGGTCTAAACAACACTTGTTGAATCCGGATAACTTTTGCCCCCTTTTTGCTCGACTTCAATATCGAAGCTTGCTCCGCATTAACTCTTACGGTAGAAGATGATTGGCGGAGCGTACTTGGAAAAGTGTTGGCAGATCCTTGAATCTGGATCTATGAAAAAATATGCACGTCTCTTGGGAGTAACCAATGCTGTGCTCATGTTTGGGATACCGTTCCTTACGCTGATTATCGGAAGGACTCTAACCGCTTCAAACTTTGTCCTTCTTGTAGTTTTTGGCTTCTTTTGCGCAGTGCTGGAAATGCCTTTCTGCTGCAGCTGTGCGACATTCTGTCTCAAAATTCAAGAATTGTTTGCGCCAATCGAATCTCGTATGTGGCTAAAAGCTGTCTTTTATCTTGTGCTTGCAACGATACTCATCTCCTGTCAAGTTCATGTCAAGGGAGGCCCTGCTGGCTGGACGTTCGGTATACTCACAGCCATCAACGCCGTTCTGTACATCCTTGCCGTGTTTTACCCGGATCCAAATGAGGAGAAAGAGAATGATGCGGGAGAGGGAGTGTCACGTGACGAGGTTCGAAGCCACGACATTGAGCATGGAGCCTCTCCTGCTCTTCCGCCGCCGCCTCCTCCCAAGGAACAATCGCCCGTTGACCCCAACGCTGCTGGATCTGCGTTGAAGTCTGCCGTTATCAACCACGTGAAGGACAACCCCAAACTTATTCAGGAGGCGTTGAAAGCTGCTGGCAAGATATGATTTGATTCAGTAGTGTGACTGGCATAGCTGCGCATTCCGAGTGTAAACTAGCAATCATAACACTGAAGGCAGAAGAATGGGAGACTCGCATACAATCCCATGTCTGATAGTGTCGCAGTCGTGGAGCTGTAAATTGTCTCAAAACCTTAAATTCTTCTTAGTTTAGCAAAATTCCTTTGTTATGTAGCAAAAGACGTAAGAAGAAATCTAATAAATTTCCATCTCTAACTCTACCTCGTGTCTATCACGTTCTTCTCCCAGCTCGTCTTCCAGCTCACGCTCACTCAAGAGGGAGCTCCTCCTGGCCGATCGCAAATGCTTGACAGATAAGCTTTCCCACCTCCTCACGTTGGTTTTCCATCTGGTCGGAACCTCCTGGGGTACAATCGCATCCAGCAGCTCCCTCGGATCTATCAAGTCCTCCGGCTCCTCATTCAAATCCACATTCTTGGGGCAATGGTGGCTGACGAATCTCGGAACCTTGATGGTCCTTGCCTTGGCCCCCTTGCTTCTGTTCCATGGAGCTTGCGATGACATGCCTGGCATGAGCGCCGGGTCCTTCGCCGAGTACGTCTTGACCGTTGGCAGGTGCTCATCCTCAAGGCCCTTCAGCCTGCTCAACTCGTTCTGGTTCTCAGCACTCTTGATTGCTCGTCGTCTGTCATCGAGCCACGCTAGGGCTCGTTCACGTTTGGCCCAGATGCTGCTCTCGATGCCAAGACGTTTCGCGTTCTCGTTGTCCACTATCCCCAGATTGCTCATTATGTTTGAGATTTCCATCTCGTGGTACCTCCACGCGTTGTATTCAGCGTCCGCTCCCCGAACAGACCATGCATGCTTCGAAGGGATTGAGTCAAACTCCGTCAGGCTCAATGCGTTCTCTTTCAACACTAGAGCACAGTTTGTGCAAACAAGCCAACCCTGTTCGATGTCTAGGTATTTGTTGACTGCAGGATGGCTGCATGTATCCCATGAGAACAGTGGGTTGCCGTTCTTGTCTAGACTAGGGGTACAGCGTTCAAGGATGACATCCTTCATCTCACTGTGTGAATTCATCGCAGCATGGTCTGCAGCGTACAGGCCGTTCTTGTCCTTGTGCCATGCGTCACACTGCAAGTCCAGAAGAAGCTGAACCACCATGGCGTTGCCTCGCGCACAGGCTGCCATCAAAGGCGTAGTTCCATCCACCTCCCTCGCAAAGTTCATTGAGGCAAGAGTGAGACGATCAAGTATCGGCTCAAAGTCTCCCGTCTGGAATGCTGTGAAAATCGCCCAGTCCATGGAGGAGCTAGCCGGCAGGGGGCTCAGCGACTCGGGGTAGTATCTTTGCGGGCACATGATGAGGGCTGGCTCTTTCAACTTGTTGTAGTTGAGGAGAGTTCACCGACTCCTTCTTCTCTCCTCTCTCCTCTCTCCTCTCTCCTCTCTCCTCTCTCCTCTCTCCTCTCTCCTCTCTCCTCCTTCTCTTCACTCTCCTCCTCCCTTGTCTTTATCCACTAGGTTCCTCCTGCCATCCCGCGTGTAGGTTCTGTAACGACTTGAAACCACCACATCTGTCCAAGTTCAGCCGGGAACTTCCGAACTCAGTCACCGGTCACCTGTCACTGAGTCAGTTCAGAACTCCGGCCCGGGCGCCCGGCCGCCGTGGCAACCTGACGCATATCATCGTGACTCTCAGCCGCACGTCCCACCTGACTCCGTGGATCGCATGCCAGCTGCCTTGTTACAACTAAGATCGATATGATGTCTGTATTCAACTTTGGCACAGAACATCATGTCTAACAAACTTGAGCTCCGTCACCACCAAAGGTCTTTCTCGCCCGATGGACTGGCCGCGGGGGGGCGGGGGGGGCGCGGCACCTTGACTGATGAGCCCGGGCCTCTTGTGATCCGCGGGCCGGCCCGGCCACTGCCAGGAGGCCCGGGCCCGGGCCGGGCCGCGCTCAGCGGCTCGCCTTGTGAGCCTCGGAGGGGACGGACTAGGTATGATAGTATCGGGTGTGGGCCCGGCGGTACCCGGTACTACGAGGCTAGTAGCCGCCCAGTGTCAGTGGCCCAGAGTGACATGATAGGGCAGACGACGACGATCATCTTACTTGTACATGACTGTGACTGGTCTGCTAGTGTACATGACGGGCTACCCGGGTTACTTAGCTACTTCATACTGTCTTCCTCTCTGATCTTCTGCCCCAGCACGTCGGTGACCTGCGGGATCATGCTCGTGAGCTGCGGCAAGGGAGGCAGGAGGAAGAGGAGGAAGAGGAGGAAGCCTCCGACGAGGGAGGAGGGAGGAGGGAGGAGGGAGGAGGGAGGAGGGAGGAGGTACAACCTTAGGTAGAACTCGTTGGGACCTCCTTGGGATTTCCCAGTTGGAGGAGGAGGAGGATTTCTTGGACTGAGACTGGAGCATTACAGTCAGACTCTCGCGCTCCTCTCGTCTCCCTCACCTCAGAGTCCCCGAGCGACATGCCGAAGTAAGTCGCCACCATCTCAGTCTGTGTGCTCACCAACGACGCCGGCTCCTCCGCCGCCGGGTAGAGGGAGGAGCCGCCGGAGCGAGCGGCTGCTTCGGGGAACTCGTGGACGAACCTGGTGGTCTCCGTCCTGTAGGTATGGACGAACTTGACCGTCCCCGGCACCTGACGCGTGATAACTTCCGAGTAGGTAGTCGTGCGCGAGATCTCCCTCCTGTCCTCCTCTTCCTCCCTCTCGGGAGTCCTTGGGGACCTGGAGGGATCGAGGGGGTCGGGAGACAGGCGGCTGGGGGACCAGATGGACTGAGGCTTCTGCGCCTTTCCTGCTGCTAGCGTGATGTATGCTGTTGGCGGCCTGCTGCTCCCCTTGTCCTCCACCAGACTGTCTTGCGCTCGCACAGGGTCCAACATGGCGAGAGTGGCTTCGAACAAGGAGTTGTCGGGAGGAGGAGGAGGAGGCTTCCGTTCGAAAAGCTTCTTCGAATCGTTCACGTGCGAGCGGATGGAGTTCTGAACGCGTTGGATCTTTTTCCTCAGGACCAGCGCCCTCGCTCCCTGCACGTAGATTCTAAAGACGGCGATGCTGAGCAGGACAAACCCTCCTGCCGCCGCCAGGCTCGCTATCAAGGTCGTGGGGACCTTGGAGCTGGACGCGAGCTGGACAGAGCCGGTCGAGTTGGAGGGAGTCGTGGTGTTGCTCTGAACGCACATGATGAGGACGTCATCGCAGAGATGCCTTCCTCGCGAGTCGAAGGCGATGGGGATGCTGAGGAGGGCAATGCCGTCTCCGATCCCCGCTTTCTTCGTCAGAGTCAGGGTGAGCTGAGAGGGGAGGAGAAGGAATGAGGAGTAGAAGGTGAGAGGGGGATGTACAGTGGAAGTTGATGAGGAGGAACGAGGAGCAGGTGCAGGAGGCAGTGGCGTTTGAGCAGGAGGAGACGCAGGAGGAGGAGGAGGAGGAGGGGGAAGGAGGAGGAGAAGCAGGAGGAGAAGCAGGAGGACGTGGAGGTACCGTGAGGTCCTGGGCGAGGGAACCTGACTTGACTCCCTCCACGATCATCTGTGCAACTCGGAGGGCCTCGCGCTCGTACGGGACCAGCTGACGGAAAGTAACCCTGAGAGTCCCCGCCCTCCTCGCCATGTCGGAGAAAGAGTTGATCTGAAGCGTGTCCGGGGTGCTGTTGAAGCGATTGGTGACCACCCTCTTGAAGGTTTGCTGGAGGAATGACGTCAGCAAGGAGAAGGGGAAGGCGGAGAGTGATGGATGAA